TGTAGAAATGTGTCGATTCTTTTTAAATACAGACGTACATCCATGACATTATCAGAAAATAAGAGCAATAACAATCGTAAATTTTCTGATGGACGTTTGTATTTAAAAGAATCGGCAGGTTTATACACACAAAAATAATTGTGAAGACTATCAAAATATAATGATCATGAAATAGAACTGTAAAATATAACGACGTCAATAATTCTAGTTTTAGTTGGGACCTTCGGTTTGATTAGAAAACTTTCTGATAGAATACTTAAAGGTACTCTAACCTATTATTAAATAAATAAAAAAACATTCTACTCACCGGTAGAGCTTACATTTTAGGAAAAGTTTTATCTATCTGAAATGTGCATAATCTTAGGCCGTTTTATTTAATTTTACTTTTTACAAAAATGTAAAAAGAAAGTAAAAAAAACCCTGGATAGCACAATTTTCAAACAAATTGGTATACGGGAAAAAAATTTCGAAAAAAAAGGAAAGAACCAGAAACCTTCGAACAGGACGAAAGAAATCGTCCAGTACCTTAAATTTCTGGTACAAAAGAGAAAAAAAAAACAAGCGAGTAATAAGTTAAAACAAAGAGTGCTCTATACGCTAAGTAGAGCAAAAGTAAATAAATAAATCCTAACGAGCCAGATACTACCTACCTAGGTTTCATTCCATAGGATCATCAGGGTGAATTGGCTAAGGATGAATTAACAAGGAACAAATTTATTAATAAAATTACGGCTAAAACCTAAAATCAGCATAAGCCCAAGACGACATAAATCACGTGACTAAAAAAGAAACCTTTATTTCAATAACCAGGAACTCTTATGCCTGCATCTATTAAGGATTTCTGACCTCTGGTTTAATAAAATTTTTGGTTTGTTGAAGGTAGCTATTGCTAACTTCTCTACCTTACATAAAATACAAAACTTGTTGCCGACTTTATACTTACAATATTTTTTAGTGTTCCCCATTTTAGAATGGGATCCGTTCTATCTTCGTTTAATATTCTAAAAGTATTTAGATAAGTAAGTGTTATACTTAAACTTCTCATTCTTGAAACTACTTATATGATTATAGTAGCGTTTTTTAAAATTGCTTTAAGCAGATCCTATGTACACTTTACTGTTGTCGTTATTGGTAGTTGAATTATTTCTACTAATTTTCAATTTATAGACGATACATTCTTCTTGACATTTGCCATTGAATGAACAGGTGTCTTTATTCCTACAGTTACATTTACTGGGGTTAATGTTTGATTTGGCTATGATTTTTTCCTATTAAATTTATTAATTAAACTAGCCATATTCGGTATACAGCTGTAGCATAGCTTAACGTAATTCATATTGAAAATTTTGTCAATTATGTTGGACGGTGGGGGGGACTAAATCTTTTCTAATAATTTAAAAAATATTTTCACTATTTTGATTTTAATATATATATATATATATATATATATATATATATGTATGCATGTATGTAAGATAAAAATACAGTTTGAAGAGAAGCTGTGTAAAAGTGTTTAATAGAGGACATGTAAATATAAAAGTTAACACTGATATCAACAGCAAGTGACGATAGTTTTTTCATACTTGATGACCTGAAGAACAATCTGACGGTGTTAACCTCAGTGTCGACTGATAAATATATATATATATATATATATATATATTTTGAATAAAAACAGACCACTTTAAGGTTCCATGTAATAAGTTATTTCACCACAACCCACTCATATCTTATCTTCTCTCCCACCATACTTCCTCACTTCGTTAATTTTACATATGCTTGATGCGGTCCGTCAAAAACGTGTGAATTTCTTTTCATTTTTCATTTCAACCTTTGGAAGTAAAGTCTGATGATCCAGAGCCCTGTTAAAGGGGTTATGGTGAAATAACTTATTACATGGAACCTTAAAGTGGTCTGTTTTTATTCAAACATATCGGCTCTGAATTTTACATTGAGCTCTCCGGATATCATCCTCCTTGGATCTACCCATGCGGATTACCTAGTTTTGCATAAACTATATATATATATATATATAAGTGAACATTGAAGTCAACACACGGCTGTTTCATGGTGGACGCAATCGTCAGGCCTGTCACCTCTGAGTGTTGACTTCAGTGTTTATCTCATAAATATATCGCACCTTAAAACTATATTTCTTCATATATATATATATATATATATATATATATATATATTAATCAGTATCATCAGATGCATGGCACTAAGAGACAGGGGGGTTACAGTGTGTTGAAGAATTAGGAACAGAAACATTAATAATGGGCGGGGAGAGAAGAGAGTAATCAGACGGACAGTAGATAGCGATTTTCATTGCATTTAAATTCTTCCATGTTGGCTGTAAAGTAGGAAGTCGGAAAGGAGTTCCACAAGCGAGAAGCGCGAGAAAAGAAAACTGTTAGCATAGAGTGCACCGTTACATCTAGACAGCTAGAATGTAAATTGATGAGACCTCGACACCAGTCTAGTACTGCGCTTAAATTCGAAAACTCTAGGTACCATAGCGAAGAGGTTATCTGGGCAATTACCATATACTCGTATATAGAAACGACACAGAGAGGCAAACTTTTGGCGGTGAGAAAATGACTGAAGCCGAGTCGCGAGATGAGGACCAAAAAATATGTGGGAGGATGAGTGAATGTTGGAAGACTTTTACATAACTCTACTAATTAAACACATGTTACTGGCTTGGATTTTACAATTCCCACACACACAAACATAAATACAAATACGTACACAAAAGCACACTTCGAAGGCACGCATAACCACACACATGCGCGCTTATATATGAAGAAAATTCTAAAAAAAATATTAATAATAAAATGTTTCTATTTTATATTCACGGATAGAGAAGAGTAAAAATACGAAATAAAAGAAAAGAAAAAAGAATTGATCAATAAAACATCTACTATAAGCATATTGGTAGAAGAATTAAGAGTTAGACAAATCGATTAACGATCACAATCTTCGAGCAGGTGCATTTTCGTTTGCATAATGTTCTTTTACACGCAATCTTTACACGGATGTCGCATTTTTTTTTTAATATGAGAGTCAAAAGAAATACATATTCAATTTTAATGTTATTAGATTACGTAGTTGTGTTTTTTAAGGTAAAAAAAAACAAAAACGTTTATAAAACCTCAGGTAAAACATGTATGGAGTTTCACCCCACCTTTTTCTATCTGTAAGGCACTTTCAAAATGGCTGCCCCACTGGACACATGCACAATTGTTATAGGACTTTTGATTTTAGGAGAAAATGCTGAAAGCATTCACACGAGGTCAGTTAATATTTTAAAAGCTGAATCGATATAAACACACGAATAATATAAAATATATATTGTGTGTTGCAGCAAAATTGCCCAAATAATGTAACAGCAAAATTTTTCAATTGTTAGATTATGATATGAACCGTTGTATCTTAGAAATAATTAAAGATATCTTAGTGGAATTCTCCAAGGTCATTATAACTCTATTGGACTCTACTTTGAACAATAAGAATGTTTTTAGCTCTAAGTTGAAATGATGATGCGTCTTCCTGTTGTGACTTCTTCATCCATTTTCCTCTCTACTGTTCCATCTTTTTTAAACCTATCCTCCGCTCTCTTGATGGCTTTTGAATTGACTTTGAAAGTGAAAGCCAGTGTATGAATGTTGGTACCATTACTGAAGACCTGGATGTTCTTTTTCCCCTCAACATGTCTCAGTTGGGAAGACATAGTGGGCTGACATAAAACGATTTTAAACTGTTCTATTTCGAGCTGAATAACTTAAAGGTGTTTGTCAGTGAAAAAAAAATGGTGTCACGATGGCTAAACGTCTTATCTGAAAACCTGTAAAAAAGAAACTCAATTAGTTTAGTGGTTTTTGGATATTAAAATTTTATGACAATTATCGCATGCTGTTAACGATTTGGACAATTTTGCTTGTTACATCCGGTATATATATATATATATATATATATATATATATATATATATATATATATATGCAGGGTGTATCAAAATACTTTGAGGGCGGGTTCCTCACACCAAAACAAGGACAAAAGCCCATATAAACATATGTCCGCAAATCCTTCGTTTTTGAGTTAAAGAAAAGTTTGCGGTTGATGGCACTGTGTTGGCACGTAGATGATGTTACGTTTGTCACTCGTGTATATTTGTGGCTAGTCTATCTTCAACGTTTAACGTGTGTAGTAGTGAGTTAACTGAGAAGTGTTCCATTTAACAATGGCAGGATGTTCATATCGTGAGCAGATAAATATGATTTTTATATACGGCCACGCGACTGCGTCGAGCATGAAACAGCCTGTCGCCTCCCGAGTGTTGACTTCAATGTTCACTTTTATATTTACATACGCTCTATCTCTGACATTGAACACTTTATCCCATAAATATAGCACACTTTAAAACTATATTTCTTCATATATGTGTGTGTGTGTGTGTACGATATTTACCCTCGCTTTTTCAACTTTTCGGAATTGGAGTGTATCTTGTTAATGTAAAATCGGTTAATAGTATTTTAAAATATAAATCATGATTTTTATATTTGTTACCAAACATAAAACAATTGAAATATGTGTCTGTAAAATAATTTTATTTGTTTATTGCTGATGATATGAGAAAAGCCGTTATTACTAATATAATTTAATTACATATAAAAGACATTAATAGAAGGAAATTAATTTATCAAGGTTAATGAGTTATTATGACTCATTTTTTTATTCGCTAAGGCGTTCAATTTGACAGCTAAAGAAACAGAAGTTAATTAAGCTACTTTTTGTTTGCTGACGTAATAAATTTTAGATTATTGAAGTTAAATAAGAATAAAAGATTATTGAAGTTAAATAAGAATAAAAACGAAAATTAAAATAATAAAAAAAAATAAATATTGCTACGGAGTTCACATGTAAAACTAAACACGAAAAAAATAAAATATAATGAGTTCTTTAATTTTTTGTCTGCCCGTGATCTTTTGCGAGGAGAAATGTCAATGAAATACCGCATCGTTTTATCTCTAGTCAAGCGAAAATATACAGTAGACGGAAAACAGTACAAACGCCGTTCGGTAGTATTTGTAGATTACAATATTAAATTCGTTGGAATTAAGCAACGTTGGTCGAAAGTATCATTTTCTCTTTTAATTTCGGCATGATACCTTACAAATTCCACTTGAGATAAAGCGACGAAGTTGACATCACGAGAATCTCGCCGAACATCTTAACTGACATATTGTTTATTCTGGTTTCTTCTCTACTATTCCCTCTTTCTTAAACTTATTCACTGATCTCTCTATGGTTCTTGAATAGACTTTGAAGATGGAAGCCAAAGTATAAATGTTGCCACCATTACTGAAGGCTTGAATGATCTTTTTCCTCCCACCATTGCTCAGTTGGGAAGACAGTGGGACTGATACAAAATGATTATAACCTGTGTCGTTTTTACCTGAATAAGGGTTTTTTAGTGTTTTTTTTTTTTTTTTTTTTTTTTTTTTAGTAAGCGGCTTCTCTGAAAACCCGAAAAAAGAAACTTGATTAGTTCAGGGATTTTCTTTTTAGATATTAGACATTTTCTCGGATACATAATCTAGGTCTGTTCATTTACTATCTATCTATCTATCTATCTATCTATCTATCTATCTCGCTCTGTTAATTTTAAATGTAGTCGGGATTACCTATTGTGTGAAATTATCCTGTGATCATTTTGATAAAATGCTAACAGTAGCCAAATGAGAACAACATTTAGAAAATTCAAATTTTTACAAATTTTCTGTTACAGCCGGTTATATATATATATATATATATATATATATATATATACTCGACTCTCTCGTCGATTTCGACGTATGAGGGTGAAGCAGATCCGTTGCTAGGAAACAGACAGCCCGACAACAGCACATAAGATTTTATTATTGTGGTGAACTTTTTGTGCAGGACCATCCACACTTTTTGAAGGGCCGAATACAGAGACCTGGTGCACTACGTGCCACAAGGTCTCCAAACGACCCTCCGCAGGTTTTGAATTCAGAGTTGTCCTTGTCCTAGACCAGTTGCCATCCACGTCTATAGAACCCAGTCTGTCCTGCTATTTTACCCACAGGTGGAGGAGGTAGAAGAGGATTCATACCTTTCCCAAGGGTATTAGCACGTAAGTGAATGTAATGGATTCGACTGGAATTCGAACTCGGCTTTCTCAATCCAAGCCGCTATTCATTACCCCACCGCCAGGCCACATATATATGTGTTATATATATATATATGTATATGTGTGTATATACATATATATATATATATATATGTGTGTGTGTGTGTGTGTGTGTGTGTGTGACATATATATATGTTATATATATGTGTTATATATATATATATATATATATATATATATATATATGGCCTGTTGGTGTATGTATATATGTGTGTGTGTGAGTGTGTGTGTGAGTGTGTGTGTAAGTGTGTGGTAAATTTGTAAGTTTCTTGAATTGTTTTTGAATAGCATGAATACTATATATTCATTCAGATGCTAGGAGGAAGGGTCTTTTTTATTGGTGAAGCAAGTTGTATCAATGCGCGATCGAGGACCGGTCAGCGATTTCTCGCTGACGTTAGCCTGCCCGTCGGGTATTATTTCGAGTATCTTTCTTCCTACACATATCGATCTAGCGGTTTCAGTATTTTTGATCGCGTCAATCACTATTCCTATTGGTAGTTCTACTGAGTCCAGCCTGTTCATACTTGTCAGTAGATCTATTTCTGATGAGATCTATTCTATCTATCTATCTATCTATCTATCTATCTATCTATCTATCTATCTATCTCAGTCTGTTCATTTTCCGTGTCTGTTAATTTTCTCTCTCTCCCTCTCTCTCTCTCTCTATCTATCTAAATTTAATTTCTCTCTAAATCTGTTCATATCTATCTATCTATCTATCTATCTATCTATCTATCTATCTATCTATCTATCTTCATTTTTATTTGTCTGTTCGTTTTCTTTCTATCTGTCTCTCTCTCTCTCTCTCTCTCTCTCTATCTATCTATCTATATTTAATTTCTCTGTAAGTCTGTTCGTATCTATCTATCTATCTATCTCAGTCTGTTCATTTTCTATGTCTCTTCATTTTCTTTCTCTCTTTCTCTCTCTGTCTGTCTATCTATCTATCTATCTATCTATCTATCTCAGTCCATTTTCTATTTATCTATCGATCTATCTCAGTCTTCATTGTCTATTCATTTTCTTTCTCTCTCTATCTATCTATATTTAAGTCTCTTCATATCTATCTATCTATCTATCTATCTATCTATCTATCTATCTATCTATCTATCTTATATCTGCTGATCCTTCTCGTATTTTCTTTACGTATGTCATTCCATGTTATTCAATCAATCAATCAATCAATCAACCAACCAAACTCTTCAATCTTATCAATATTTATCCCTGTTATTTTCGATGTTTCAAACCGGTTGTCTCTCCGACCTCGTAGATCAATATTTCTCACTTCTAAAATATATGCTTCACCACGTGAGGGTAGAGAATATCAATTACATTATTCAGCACTTTCTCGTTCCGGCCACATAGGCATTTTCTTTTTTTACACGACGATTGATTGACAGAATTATTAATCTTAGTTTAATATAGACAAGAGGAAATGATGATGAATAATAGCTAGGAAGACTGTGTTTCGCCAAGCTTCCTAGAGTCTAACGTCTCAAGCAGTTTTAGAAATAGTAGCGAAAAAAGGGGTACCACGAAACAGGAAAATTTCGTTAGAAAAAAAAGGCTTCCGTCTCGATGAAAACTTATTTTTAAATCGATATCACCCCAAGCAAGGTAGTAAAGCCGCTAAGACACAAGGGGTTGCTAGGTGTGGAAGTATTGGGAACAGAAATACTATAAAAGAGAGAGTGTAGAGTAATGAGGAGGACAGTAGATAGCAATTGGCATTGCATTTAAATTTTTGGAGATGAATACTTGGCTTGAAAGCATGGAGCGGGAAGGGACTTCTGTTAGTGTGAAGTTCGAGAAAAGAAAATGTCAGAATAGAATTTACGGGTAGATCTAGTCATCTCTACTGTAATTTGATGATATCTCGACTCTGATCTGCGCTTAAATTCAAAATGTCTTGGTACCATATCGAAGAGTAATATTTATTTCGTAAAATTTTACAAAAATATGTCAAAATGTCAAAATGGGCAATGCAGAAAATATTGTCTTATTCTGTCTCATAATTAAACTTAGATAACTACGATCACTGAGCCAAATATATCACAATATTCCTACGCCAAAACAGTACATTATTACCGTTCTTACTTAAAATTCTTACTACATCTACCATATCATCTCAACAAAGACCACGAAAGTATTTATAGAACAGATACAAGGAGGCAACCTCTGTGAAAAAATCATGTAGCAGGACTGGGAAGATATACACAATGTTTTATCTATTAGTAATCTTTGTAACCTAGAAAGGGTTACTGAATGAGGAATAACTAAAACGGAGGTTGGAAATGAAATGGTAATCTTTATAACATCAACAAAATACAATACTCGCCAGCTCCGTGAAGTAGGTAAACCACTGATAGTGGTGGACTACTTAGACACCATATTACCCCCACTTACAGTAGTGTCCAACATATTTATGAGGATTGGCACATACCCACTAGTTTTCATAGGTAAGGTATATCATTCATTCATTCATTCTTTCTTTCTTTCTTTCTTTCTTTCTTTCTTTCTTTTGTAACCTAGAAAAGTGTTACTGAATGAAGAATAACGAAAACAGGACTTGAAAATGAAATGGTAATCTTTATAACATGAACAAAATACAATACTCGCCAGCGCCGTGAAGTAGGTAAACCACTGCTAGTGGTGGACTACTTAGACACCATATTGTCCACACTTACAATAGTGTCCATCATATTTCTGAGGATTGGGACATACGCACTAATGTTCATAGTTACGGCATATAACAATAGCAAATGTGTTTGATTCGTAAATGTTTGTTCCTTATTTTTCGTACGCCCCCATTGCTTCATTAAAAAAAATAAAACCTTCATGAACTGTCATTTTTCTCGAGTTAATGAACTGAGGATGTACACAGAAATAGAATGAGGTGTATGACAAGGATTCCATTAATTCTCCCTATACAAAGATGCGATCTGGAAAGATATAGAAGTCCTACTGGGATTTAATATTAATGTTCAAAATCTGAACAAAATAATCTATGCAGATAACACCGTGAGGATTGATTGGCTCTAGAGATTATGAAGGTTATTTAAAGCCAGAAAATACTTTTAGATTGTAAGAATTTTTCTTTTGGAGATAATGACGGTTTCGTGTTAAAAATCTTACTAATTAACAAATAGTTTAGAGGAAGCGGCGTATCTATAGCTTACCCAAGGCTATTTGCGTGTAAGTGAATATAACGAACCCAACTGGAAATGGAACTCGGCAATCCGATTAACAACTCCAAGCCATTATCCATTACACCAAACAAGTAGTTGGTATTCCCAAACGATCAACCATCTAGGTACTGACTAAGATTGACGTTGCTTAACTACGGTGATCGTGCATGAACCGGTATTTCAACATGATGTTGTCGCGTGACGTGATGATGGGAGAGATAAAAAGAAATTTGCAGGAATTCCTAGACAAAGAATTCAAGAAAAACGAGTTACGCTTACTTTTCTTTACTTAAAATTTTATCATAGTTCTGTCTGGCATAAATATAATTTTTAAAGCGATGCCTTCTGATAGGAACATTGTTGCTATCCGTTGTGTTATTATCTTTTAGTGTTGCTCTCTCTCTCTCTCTCTCTCTCTCTCTATCTATCTATCCATTCATTCAGGTTATAATTTATTTCGTAGATTTATTATTAATATTTTATTATTATAATTATTATTATTGTTGTCATTTTCTAATTGTGACGGTTATAATGCGATGGGGATGGCTTCGCTGCTTAAAATGAATATATCTATTTTGAATATGATAACTGCCTTCCCCATCCCGTTTTTTTAACTTGTCTTTCCCCCTCACACTCGCTTTCTCCTCTCTCCACATGTCTACCTCTCTCTCTCTCTCTTCCTCCTCCTAAAAATCTTATATTGAAATCTCTGTCTGTCTCCCCTTTTTTCTTCCCCCTTTTAATATTAAAACTCTTTCCTTTTTTTGCGATTAATTCACACCTAATGCATGATTACTCTTAACTAGGAGAAAATATTGATTAGCTAGACGTACATTTACACTGCTCACATATATTTGTTTGGTAGAATATTCACTGCCGAGAATTTCAAATGAGGATATTCGACGCCGCTAAAGTCTCCTGTTTTAGGTCCGGACGAAGTACAATGGGACAGTTTTTCAATTGTAGGATCCTTGTAGAGAAACACCTAAACATCAGAAGGACATGTTCTACAATTTTGTCGATTTCAAGAAAGTGATCGTATATGGCATGACGGTCTTTGGCAAATCCTTAGGAAATTCAATGTAGATAACGGAATTATCTAAGCCATCCAAGCCCTAACTCAATTCATCCATATGGATGTGAAACATCGAAACTTTTGGTCGAAATATAGAGAAAACTCCAAGCGTTTGAGTAAAAATACATGAGAAAACTCCTTGGAAAACTTCTTTGCGGAAAAGGGTTGAAAGTTTTGCAGGCCATCAGGAACCTCTTCTCGCCACTGTCAAATTGAAAAAAATGGCGTGGTTTGGACAAATTACAAGGTATGCCAACCTCTTCAAGACCATCATGCAACATTGGAGATTTAATATGGCTTCTGCATTCAGACACCCCCACCCGCACCGTCGATTACAAAATTCAAAGGGATGATGATGATAATGTTGATGATGATGATGATGATGATTTGCAATTCTTC